GGTGACCACAGAAAAAAAAATACTGCGTTTAATTCAAATATTTCTAACAGTGCGAGACAAGGGATCATATTGTAATAAAGTGAAAAAAAATCCCATGATATTAAAGCTCTGAATGAATTTTTGTTACATGGAAAAGAGAAGCTCTGACATTTTGATAACTCATCTTATGTTGTGCTGGGAAAAAGTAATGTGATTTTCAAGCAACCCAAGAATGCAAATTCATTATTAAAATACAAACTTTCCTTTTTTTGGAACTTGCATTCAAACCTTACTTGGTTTAAAATCTTTTCTAAATATAAAAGGCTCCATGAATGGTTCTTGATTCTTAAGACAGGCAGAACAAGCCACAGCTCAAAGGCGAAGGCAGAAACAACACTTAGTGGCCCCTGTAACAACAAAGCAGCAGAAAACGCTTTTTCACTGAAGTTCACTTAAACTCTCAATGGATTGTGGTCCACTGCTGAAGAAAGAAACAGAGAGCTGTGTGGCTACAACCATCTAAGGCGTGAAAGAAAAGCCTTTAATAATCTTGGTAGCATTGCTAGGGGACAAAACAAGAAGATAAAAACATCAATCTCAGAATAAGAAAAAGTATAACGATATGTTTTCTCTCTAAGGGAGTGTCTGTTTATGTGTAGGAGTACTGAGGTTCTCTGCCTTGTGGTTAACATACACTTTTTTTAAATGATCTTGTAACCCTTTTGAATTTTATGCCTAATAAAAATCAGTCACAGGGCCATTAAGGACGGCACAGACAATCTGTGAACAACCCGTTCACACCTACATGTGAGCTTGGCCTGAACAGCACATTTAAAGCCTTTTTCTCCTTCCATGAAATAGTCATGAAACACCTAGTGGTGTGCGACTTTCCAATTATATGATAAGATTAACAGCATAAAAAAAAAAAAAGACATTTCACAATCTTTCAATGACTTTATCCCCGCTGATGTCACACAGGCTCTTGGATAATGTTAACCAACAGCCATCAGTGATCATTTTTGCAACCCACATTCAGGTCGCACTCCATTATGGTTTGTAACACTCACTTTTTATGGTCCAATTAATTCCTGACAGATTAAAATCAAGACCTACAATTTTTTTTATTAAATATCGTCTAACACTAGAAAAAATAAGTCTTGAAGGAAAATTGTTTACAAATAATAATTCATTTTGACTTTAATGTTTTTGGGAAATAAATCTTAATATGTCAGTTATGCGAGTACCATGCAGTTAAATTGTTTGTAAAACCATGATGAGCATTTAGTCCAGTATAGGAAAGCAGCACATTTTGTTTTCCAGATGAATCATCACACTAAAGATGATATACCACCTATTCCAAGGTTTCTCAAGTCTAGCACTCAAGGTCCATCTTCCTGCAGAGTTTATGCTGCGATCCATTTACCTCGGATGTCGAAGCTGGGAATGATGCCCCACCCGAGTTGACAACGTTCCAGTACACAAGTCGGAAAACCAAGATGGACGTGTTCACCGATAGCAATACCAGTCGATAAAAACGCAGTATTTTGTAAAGATAGCACCAACATATCATGTCCACATATAGAGGTTTGACAGTACTGTTTGCACCACTTAGTGTATTTAGACACAGACTAACAGAAATACAACATATTACTACTTTTTCACTTCTGTTGATGCTCTGAGAAGCCACACTGGATTCTAAAGTCAGGGTTGTTGCGGTTCCTCTGAGTCCGAGTCTGAATTCCAACTTGAGGGGGCATTTCAGTTAAAAGTTCCAACTGGGAACTTGGAATTTCCGACTTCCAAATAGGCTTGCCGCGATAGACGGTGCTGACGGTGATACCGTTGTTAAGCCGCAACACCGGTTACGTCACTTGCCCACCACGGCACTGACCCCCACCGTCGTTTTGATTTTTTATAGTAATAAAAATCATTTAGTTCAG